CCCGGCTTTATTCGTTGAATGGGTCCAAGATCAGCATTTTGGAACTGGTAGTACTCCCTTGAACTCGAATCCACAACCGGATCAGTCAGTGACCAATGAACAGATGCCCCCTTGTGAACCCGATCTGCAATGGAGGCCTCCGTTGATTCAGCCACGAACTGGGGACCCTCTGGGTCTCTGCATTCCGCTGGAAGCACCAGCATGGCACCCGACCATGGTGGCTAACATGTTTTTTTATCAGAGCACAACTTTGTCCTTGTCTGATACTCCGGTCTTTTGGCCTGAGCTTCGATTGAGATGGTACACCACCTTTAACTGGCCTCTTGCTCACATCCATCATTTGCCTCAGATTATTTTGCCTAATACACCGCATTTCCGGCTCTTGATTGCGTGCGCCACGGTGCACCCTATCTATTGGGCTTGGACCTCAGATTAGACCGAATTGCTTCATTTTGAACGATTGCAGTTTCATGATTCACCGGCCTTGCAACTCATGAGCTTCGAGATGTTATTTTTTGAGCTAGAGCACACGCTGGCCCAAGATTGGTTCCACTTATACAAAACACATGGATTGATGGATACCATGAAGGAAGAAAATCAATCGTTTGCAGACCTCATGGAGGCTTGTTCAGGGCACTTCAAACGGCCACGGCCATGAACAGAAGAGGAGGATTGGTCATCCGACCGGCACCGTCCACGGCCAGGAGTGAAGAAGCATTCGCGCTCCTTGGGTTCGGGCTCGGCAGACGACAGCTCCTTGCTGTCATATTGGCCAAATTGATCTTACGGCAGGAAGACCAGATCAACCAGATGAATTTGGACAGAACGTTTCTTTTCTTCATTCAGGCTGATAAGGGCTCGATATTGCCCAAATTCCTTCAGCTATCCAAAGATTGGCATGGTCAAAGGGAGAAAAGCCAGGTTACAGGTCCACTCCGACAGCTGATGTTTCAGGCGGCGTTCGAAGAGCTGGCCAATCGGGCCTCACAACTCCCGCTCGGTTCAAACGACAACGAATTGATTGTGGCCCTTCGCTCGAAACAACTGACCCCTTCGAACAGTTAGAACTACCTTCATTGGGACCATCACGAGAAGACCCTAAAGCCCACCTCAAAGGAACCAATCTCATCCGAAGAGGCTTCAAGGATGATTCAAAGGATTCACCAACTAGGTGGACAGCCGGACTTGATCCATCGGTTCTCGGCTTTGAAACCGCTTCAGGCCGACCTGTTGGTCAAGCAGACGACAATAGTGATTTCGTGGAGATTGGACCTTTCACTTCGCAGCCCAGCCTCTCAGGAGATCTTCGATCTGTTGACCAAGCTGGCAGCCAACGGATTGACGCAATTAATCCTCCTCAGATTGAGACCTTCGACTCTTCAGAGGTCACCTCTGGCCCAAGCAGTGGCCCAATGCCTGAAACGATGAGGCATGCGCTTCTGCAGATGGTTCTTGGCAATGAGGACAGCGATTGTTAAATGTCAATTCGGTCGTACTGGCTGAGCTATAGGGTTGCTGCATGGACAGCAATTTTGGGTGGCAAGCCTTGGATAGTTGGATCATACCCTTACAGAGGGTCCTTTGCCAGGATTCGAATGTGCAATGGCTCACGGACCAAATTGTGTTGGGAACATGCCTTGCTCCTTGATTTGCGGTTCACGAAAGGGGTGAGCAGCAAGACGCTGCTGAGTTCGCGGGTTGGTTGAGACAAGCCCTCCACCATGGAGTCAATCAAGATTTGACCAGTGCGTCTCGATGGGAAGCCAGACTAGAGTAATCCGTTGAGGACTTGGGTTTGACTTTTGCACCGATCGTCTTGCGGCAAGAAAAGTCACATTGCAGCAATTTGCAAGAATTGATTGAATTTTGGTCGAACCAGCCCCCTTTCCGATATGGATTGACTCAATGGATCACCAATGTTTGTTTGCAGGTGGATCGCTTTCCCACCATGGGAGTTCGATCCAAGTCCCAAGTGCAATGAAATAGACAAAAAATCTTCTCCCGATGTTTGTCCATGCCATTGGTTGCACCACACGCTGGTTGGAGTTCACGATCGTGGCAACCGTCCTTCACCGAGGTGATCTTCCCTCTTGCGGGCATTATCAAGGAATTTTGCACACAGGCGGAAGCCGCTTTTTGACAGATGCTCATAGGATTCCTGTCGCGAATCCCCACCTTCCTGAGATGGAGATTGATGCATATCTATTTTGGATTGTCGCCAAATCCGACCTGTCACCAGCCTTCGGAAAGATTGTTGAGCCTCGGAATCCTTTCATTCCGATTCGACCCGCATGATGCCGCCCAGGCAGCTGCTCGCGAAGCAGCCGATCGTTCGATGATTGCAAGCCCAACACGGGTTGAGAGCACTCAGCCGGCAGAGAATAGAAAGAATGGAGAAGGTTTAATGAGAATGCGGAGTTTGCAAATATATGAATTTATTAAAGATGATAATAAATATATTTATTTGGATAAAAAAAAGATTAATTAGATAATTCAAGATGAAGAATTGATTTAAATTTTTGTTATTTATTAGTAGATGCACCAAGCAATTCGGAAATAGAGGAATGGATGCGATTATTATTAACCGAAAGGTGAGGGTAAATCTATTATTATTATTAACCGAAAGGTGAGGGTAAATCTATTGTTGGACGATTTGGAAAGGATTCTAAGATTGGTAATTAACGGCGGAAAAGGTATCCGGATATATATATATATATATATCGATGTGTTGAAGTTTCGTACGAAATGCGCGAGATGTGGTTAAATCGCGCATTGGATTCGTGAATATATTAACGAAATAGGCGCAGAGCGGAAAAACCGCACGTCTTCCGATGATACCAATTCCGATGATGAATATTCTGTCTTTTAGATCACCCTGGGTCAATATTTAGCCAAGATAAGAATTAGAAGACCAAGATCGTTATATCCCTTTATTGGAATTACCACTAGCGGATCTATGGACATTATTGACATAGCGATACAAGGTGGGTTGATTGGTCTTCCAGCACTTCGTCGGTTGGAAGAATCATTGAGGAATTATGGATTAAAGGTGATATGGATGGGAAAGAAAATTTGAGCTAACGGCATCGGAGGGGACGCGAATGTTAAATTGTCCTCGGCGCCACTCTTGTATATTCTATTCGGTAACCTTATCCCCATTACGAATATCTTTTAAAAGATTAATATTTTAAAGAATCGTTATTTATTATAATTTATTACAAATTAAATCTCTCCATTATTAGATATTTATTATAATATTGTGTCCCCTTGCGAGATTTCACGTATTTCGCGGTTCATCTTTGTGGATGCTAAAATTCGTTGACGGTCAAAAGATTCTATTTATGTCTTGTATATTTCCAATATATATTCGATATATCGAGAATATATAATATGCGATTATCCTATTGTATTGTCCCATATTAATAAATCATCGGAATAAGAAATTGCAAATATTAGCAATGCTACCTATCAAAATTCTAAAAATCATTGCTAATAATAAGAATTATACCCTAGAAATCCAAAATCACAATACGAGAATCCATGCGATTAATATCAAATTTTTTTATATATTTCAATAAAATTATCGATATTTTTTTTTCAAAATTAAATTTAATCTATAAAATAATATTAAATCCTATAATATAAAAATTAATCATTAAATAAATTTAAAATAAAAAAATAATATATATATAATTAATTATTATTTATTTATACATTAATTTAAATAAATAAAAATATAATATACAATAAAAATAAATATAATAATAAAATATAAAAATAAATATAATTATATATTCAATTAAGAAATACATCAATTTTATATATCAATCATAGTTAATTTATTAAAAAACAAAATATCTAAATATATATATATATATTATATTATAATTAAATAGTATCGTTTCCCAATTATAAAAATAAAAGAAATATTTTAAGATAAATAAATCCATCTATGTTTATTAATTTAAATAATATAAATTAAAAAATAAAACTAAATAAATAAATTATCGGAATATAATATATCAAATTCTTATTTTATTGTTATTTATTATCAAGCATATAAATATATGAATATAATTGTATATATATATATACAAATTTCTATATATTTTCAATTTATTAAATTATCATAATATTATTTCTAAAATAATTAGTTATATATTTCATTATTGAAATTAAAATTAATATATTTAATATAAATATAATATAGCAAAATATATACGGCCCACCGTAGGAACCATTAAGGCCACTATTCACAGAGTTAGTCACTAATATCAGCGAACACTCGAAGATTTGGATCCATTGTTTCGTTTTATGATTTCTCATCTAAGACACCTAGCAATTCGGACCTGTGAGAGGCGCAGGGTCTCTTTCAATTCGATTCTTCGGACGCCAAGGCGCCAAGAAGCGCCACTTCGATGGCCTACTTCATTCTCTGGCTGTTGTGCTTCATGTTGAATGGATTGATCTTCCGGGGGTTCTTCCTTTGTTCTTCCTCATCCTTAGTCCCAGCCTCCGTTGCTAAAGCTTCGTCCTCTCGTAATCTTATCTAATCTTCAGTTTTGACGGGGGGGACCTTTCCTGGATCAGGCAGTTCAGGTTCCTCTCCTTCTGTCATCTCGCCCTCTTGTTTGGGCATTCTCTTGTCTCCGTCTGTTTCCTCTTCTTTCTTCCTTTCCTCTGTCTACTTTCTTTGGACCCTTCCTCATCCTCTCTGCTTCAGTCTCAACAAGCGGGTAATAAGTGACATGTAACACTATCAGCCACAAGCTGCAGAAATCGTGCAAGTTGTTAAATTCTGGTTACACTCTTACGATCCTGCACTACGTGATCGTTATATATAATTCGAATTATATACTCTGTCAAGTGCAATAATTTGATATGTGTATTATGTTAAAGAACGAGTGGCCAAACAATGAATCCTTTTTCGGGTAACTTCATTACAATCGACCTGGGAGAATCTTTGATTCTCGAATTGTTGATCATCTACTGTCAACTTGTCAACTCTGGTCAGAATCTTCAGATTGGCATTCATTCAGACCTTGCAACTCCCACCTGGGCCGGCGCAACATCCAAAGTACCCAGAGTTTTACCATCAAAATACCCGTATCCCACAAATCAGAAGCACAGCCGAGGGACTTTTGCTTTGGTACAGGCGTCAATGCTTTGAAGTTCTCCAGTTTCATGCACAGTTTGCTGCACATCTCTGGACACTTGTTGCCATTGGGTGGAAGGAATGCAGAGACCTGTACTCGGCGTGCTTCAAGGCGTCTCTTGCAATCATCCTGCAACATCAACCTGAGTTCAGCCGGTGGATTCCCTTGGCGCGGCAAGAAATGCACCTAGTATCTGGGGCACTTTCAAACACTAGTAGGTTGGAGGCCATTGCTGGTTGGAGGCCATCGCTAGTTTCTACAAAATTGGGATCCCCTGTGTGGGTCTGAAGTATGGGCCCGCGTCATACGGCACGAAACGATCCCATAATTCCAAAGTTCCCTTGTGTCAACATGAGTATTTCAATAATGGAGCTTTTTGTTCCGAACCATTCTTTGAATCGCACATGACTCGCCCGCAGTTATAAAGGCAAAGCATGGTGGTGTACCCAAATGGTATGGGCAGTAGGTCAAGCCTTGGGCCCCACAGCAATCCCCAAAAATGAGTTCCTGTTTATATACATGTCTTTTCTCTCTCCCTCTCTCTCAGTTAGGCAGCTTCATTTGGAGAGCGCCCTGGTGTCGTGCTGCCCCAGCGAAACTCAAGAGCTGGGCACGAACAGTGCCCCAATCCTTAAATGTGGCAAATCAAGGTGGGTCAAATAACCAGAAAATCGGCGCATGGGTACATGTCAGAATAGACATGTAAATGTACTGTAATAGAATAGGTAGCATATCAACGTCCGGACACAACCGCAAACATGGCATATGAGTGATAAGTGTGAGGAGATTCATCCCATTCTTGGAGATACAACAATATTGGGAAAAGGCCTACACTTGGTCATCCAATCGCTTGGTCCAGACCGGGTCAGCTCCACCACTCGCAGATCCCAGCATCTGTGGGTTGAACGAGGCGTCGCAAACTGGGCATGGAGCTTTCGTCGCTATCAGGTCGACGAAGAAAGCTCAAGTGAGCCTGTTCCACATCCAGCAACGGTGTGGTCGCATCCACCTGGAGGTCGGGGAAGATGTCTGGACCAAAGGAGATTGCGGGCGTTTCAGTCAAAGGCTACAGGGATACATTTGGACAACAGTGACGAACAAATGTATATATATATATTGTGCAAACGTTGTGCAGGTACCTATGGCATGCCACCCAAACTGAAGTGCATGACTCTCTATAAGTGCATGAAAGTGCCATGTTATGGCACGTTCAAAGCAAAGATATCTCATCAGTAAAAAGCTGTGGGCACCAGCAAAGTCATCTCCTCCACCTCCTTGCAAATCTGCAGAAGAGAGTTTGCAGAGACCTGCAGCTGGCTGACCATAGCCATGAACTGTACTCGAGTCGCGTCTCATTTTGTCATGCAAGTCGGTGTCCAACATCTATCAGCTTTGTGAATTGGAGACGGAGTCCAGCTAAAAACATGTCTGACTTGAGTATCCGCTGCCCAGCACGGACCTGCGAGACAGAAGAATCAGAGAGTGGCATGCTCCTCGCTGGCATCCATGACACCAAGAAACACCCACTGTAGAACTGTTGGAATCTCTGTAAACTGACTATCGATGATCACAAACAAGAGATGCCACACAGGGTCTCCGCTACCCTTGTAGACCGTATGTCCTGAGGTGCCTGTCAGGAAAACATGAAAACCATCTTCGGTATGGCCCTGTCATGTCATGTTCTCAGCAACGAAACACAATTGGTAGACAGCAACAAAGAGCAACACACGGGCGTGCATTAGAACAAACAGTCAACCCAAGACGACTGAAAGCCATTGGTGGAGGTTCTCTGCTTTTGGATCCTTTTGAGTACACACCCAAATGCAAGGGCCCAAGCAGTAGTGCAGGTGTTGCATATATAAGGAACTTGCAGGCCTTGAAGGACTGCAGCATTCCGACCGTTAAACCTCTGTAGAACTGTTCTCGAGGCCGTCAGTCGTGTCCTCAATCTTCTCTTTTCGGAATCTGCAGTGTGGGCAGGAGCCAATTCTCCATCAGCCCCAACGACCTTGGCATTTTGTATCTTCTGACTGCAAGTAGGGTCTCCGAGCAAATCTGAGCAGCGTGCTCAAGTTTTCATGCTCATCCCCTCAACTGACCACCATGGGTCACCATCTGTATATAGAGTTCTCATGAGGAATAGAAGAAGTATATGTAATAAGTGCGGGCTCTACAAGTCTGCTGAAAATGACAGTCGGCCTGGTAGTGTGGCCTGGTGCAGTGTGGCTACGGCTATTGGTCAAATCCAAGGACACGGGTTCCCCAGAATGAGCAAATCATTGCAGCAAATGTGAACCTACCACATTTGGGAGGCATTTGGTATTGACCCATCCTCATGTGAATATGGATTTTATCCCCCATCCTTGATCATCCTTGATCCCTCCAGTCTGATAGTTTCTCAAGGGGCCTCCAGTGGAGATCTTGAGTCGGAATCTTCTCGGAGTGCGAGCAAGTGATAAGTCTCTTCACCCAACATGTGCGGCACATGGAAGAGATCGACCCCAACCGGCGGGAACATGGAGGTTGACCCTGTTGAACGCTTCCTGGGTGGACGTTTCCTGGGCACGGCGCAGAAGTGGACCCACAAACAAATAGGAAGCATGGGATCTGCTGCAAACAAAGCACAACTACGGTATATAATCCTTATAGAAAAAACTGAAAAGGTTAAAAAGAAGGTGTGTGGGTCCCCTTAACAATGTTAAACGGCCCAGGGGCCCAAGCACCTCCTGTTTTAAAGTGAATGCAGATTCTGCTTGTTTCCGCTCTCAGGGGTGGTGAGGGGTTCGCCAGTAGTAACTACAAGTTTAATGGTGAGTTGGGAAGCTAACATTGCCTATTTCTGGTGTTCGTGCCGAAACCATGCCTTTTTGCTCGAGCTGCAAGGGACCACACCCCTTGAACAAACCATCATCTAGGACACGTTGCGGCTGATCTTTGTGCTGCTACTCCCTTTCCCGGATTATCCTGCCTTCATCTGCTTTCCACAGTCACGCTTTTGGGGGGTCGTTGGTGGATTGGGCCCATTGGGCTGCGCCCGAGCTTCAACGACACTCGCAAGCATGGAGGAGCGCTGAGGCCAGAGGCATTTGATTGCTCCGACATGAAGCCTTTGGGCAAACAAATTGGCATGCATGGCCCAAATCTGTCAATTATGTTTCAACATGCTGAATCTTCTGAGACTGGTCCTCAACAAGTCAACTGGACCACACACTGTGGAACAAAAAAACATGGTTTTCGCTCTACCGACCCGCTCTACCGACCTCAGCAAAAATGCCGCAGTTGGAAAATAACTTAATATTCCAACAGGCGATGGCACCCACCCGGACGCACAAACAGTTCTTAATGGCTGACTTGGTCGTTTGGGTGAGCATTGATTGGCGCTGAAACTACTACCTATGCAAAAAAAACTGACAAAACAGGCGAAACCAACATCTAGACTCTAGACCTGACAAATCGGCACAACGACATATTTGTGACTTAACAAAAAAGACTGAAATTTATCGCTTGGAGACTTCGAAAACGTTCGCGCTCATCCTCCACCAACAATTCCTCGAACCTCTTGTCGCAGAAGTTAGAGTCCGAGGTCATCAGCAACGTCCTGAGTGGTTCAGGGCCAATTGTCACACCGCTACACCATGGATACATTGAAAAATAAAGGAAAAGGGACGGCAAGGGCACCCTTTAATCCGCCGACCCTGGCTTAGCCGTGCCTAGCGCCTGGGGCACCGCAGGGCGCAACGTTCGCCTTGTCCATTCAACGCCTCTGGCTGTGGCATTTGCACGCAGCAGAACATGGGCGATTGCCTTCAGGCCTTTTCCCACCTTGTTTTTACTGGGTGTGGCAGCTGTCGTCTGGCACCTTCTCCGGCGACATTTGCGCGCAAAGCAACATACGGGCCAGCTTTCGAAGCTGCCGTCTGGCACCCCCTCCCCAGAAAGCGACGTTAGACAAGGGCAGCGTTCGCTCCAGGGTGTTTCGGTGCAGGCTCGACTACCGGCTTCTATGGGGTTCAGAAAGCGACGTACAGGGCTAGGGTGTTTCTGTGTGGCGAGACTGAGGCTTTGTTGTTGCTTCAGGGCCGTGCCAGACAGGCTGGATGGAAAGACAAGTCTTGGGAAGGAAGAAAGACCAAACATCTTGACAGTTCGCAACTGCAGCCTCCCGCGCTCGTCCTTTCCAACACCCAAAACATACCAAGATTCCAGGGAGCGCAAGTCATTCCCGAATGGGCCACTCTTTTTCTCACATTGGTGCAAATCACCAGGATTATGTTCACAAAAATTAGACTTCACTGTTCCTCGGTCTTTTCAGCGGACATGGTGTCTCATGT